CCCGAACCGCCCTCCGGGCCCGCCCCCCACGTCCGCTGCCGCCTGGACATCAAGCCCGACGATGTGGTGCTGCAGCATGCTGCTCGGGGTTCGCGGCCCTGCGGGCCCGCCGAGACCGCGCCCTGGGCCCGCGCCGCCCCGCAGCTCCACGGCCTCACCGTGCCCGGGCCTCGCCACGTGGCGATGTCGCGCACGCCCACCCCCGCTGACTCGTACTGCGCGGACCCCCGGGCACTGTACTGCGACGGGCCCCTACCTGGGCCCCGGGACTACGCAGAGCGCCGAAGTCTGCCCTTCACCACCCCGCCGGGCCCCACCCAGTTCTTCTACACTGAGGAGCCCGAGGGCCACCCCGGCGGCTTCACGGCCAGCCCGGGCCCTCCCTTCGACAGCTTCTACCCCAGGCCTTTCCCGTCCGAGGAGCCCTCTGGGCCCAGTCCACGGCGCGGGAGCGGCTACTATGCTGGGGAAATGCGCACCTTCCCGGTCCAGGACCCGCCCTCCCGTTCCTACTACGGGGAGGCCCCCAGAGCCTACATCCCGCCCTGCGGCCCCCGCTATGGCCCCGAGGAACTCCGAGCCCACCCCGCCGCCCGCCTCTTTTACACAGAGGACTTCGGACGGTACCGCGACCGCGACGCCCTGGCGCGGACTTACCCACACCCACGCGGCAGCCTGGCCTGGGGCGACTGGGGCCCGCGGCCTTACCGCACCCTGCGGGTGGCGCCTCCCCCGGACCCCGGCCCGCTGCTCGCCTCGTGGCACGGTGGCACCAGCACCAGCCCGCCCCGGTTGGCCACCGACAGCCGCCACTATTCGCGCTCCTGGGACAACATTCTGGCGCCCGGGCCGCGCCGCGAGGACCCCCTGGGCCGCGGCCGCAGCTATGAAAACCTGCTGGGGCGCGAGGCGCCGGAGCCGAGGGTTGCATCCCCCGAAGGCCGGCGCCCGCCCGTGGTCGTCAACCTATCCACCTCGCCCAGACGCTACGCGGCGCTGTCGCTGTCTGAGACGTCGCTGTCCGAGAAGGGCCGCGCGGGCGAGGGCCCGGGCCGCAACTGGTATGTCACGCCCGAAATCACCATCACCGACAACGACCTGCGCGCCGCCGAGCGCCCGGCCACCAGGGGCTGGGAACGGCCCGAGGGCCGCCCGCGGCCGCCTCCGCCCGCAGTCCCCGACGGCCCAACCTCTGGCCGCCAGCGCAGCCTCGAGCAGCTGGACGAGCTCATCACCGACCTGGTCATCGACTCGCGGCCCCCAGCAGGCCAAGCCCCCGAGCCCGCGGCCGACGGCCTGGGCCGCCAGCTGCGCCGCCTGCTGGACTCGCGGCCCCCAGGCCCGG